CTCGGCGAGTAAATTAACCCACAGACACAGCCCACTGAGTTTCTCGCCGTATCTTCTCAGTGGGTCGCGTTTCCGATCCGGTGATAGATTCTGCGAAGCACAGCTCTTGCTAGGGTTCTTGTTAGCAACGTCATCAGCTTTGAGCCCCGTGAGCACACCTACTCGCCCGGCTACGCCGATATGTTCCCTCTAGACCAGCCTTTCCCAAAGTGGGCGATAACGCCCCCTTGTGGGCGCTGCAGGCCTAAAGGGGGGCGGTAAGAGACCCAGAAAAAAAATGTGACGCGTAACCGAAAAACGTGACGGTAAATTTTTTTCCAACGCCGATAAGGAAGTTTCACTTCAAAAATGGGGGGCACTGTGTAGAAGTTTAGGGGCGATATGTATGTTTATCTAAGAGGACTCTTAGATACCGACTGAGCTCTCGCTATAGTGGTCTTAAAGTAGATGATAAAATGGGGACGCTAAAAAAAAAAAATGTGTGCGTGTACTAGTGTACACACGTAAGAAGTGAAACTTATTTATGGCCTTATTTTTCGAAAAATGATCTACATGCAACTTTCTAGAAATTGGTTAAATAAAGTTAAATTAGATAAAGTTTAAACAAAAGGATTTTATTATCATAGACATGAATACAAAAAAGTTAAATTAGATAAAGTTTAAACAAAAGGANAACCGCAACGATGCAACGCAATAACTGCAACACGGTCTTCTTTAAGCGTCCACTCCATATTTAAAAATGAGTAAAATTCTAAAAGTATACATTTTTATTTTCATGAACAATTCGAAATTCGGATTCAATAAACTTTTTTGTGGCCAGCATTCTAAAAGAAAAGTTTTTACTGTGTGACAATACTTATGACCTGACTAGTAATATTATATTTACCATCTTTTTCATTACAAATATGTTTTCACGCCTATTCCTAATTAATAAGCTACCCACGTTGCATAAATAATAATTATAATTGTTTTATCTATGGGACAACCGCCTTTTGACACTTGATATTAAATATATCAATTGACTGGCGGACAACTAAACAGTCCAAAAATGTGTGGCCCGCAGTGATACCTCACATTGTCCTATGTGGCCCTTGACCAGAAATATATGACGACCACTGCTTTAGGCCATGACGCCTTCTAAGCCACGGCTTGTAGAGGATACCAGAATTTTTCCAATAACCGTAAAGACGATCAGGCACCGCTGCCATAAGCTCTTTAACTTCGAATTAGAACGCTACAGCCTATACATCAAAAAGTCATGACAATACCCTCTCGATGGATTCTCGGTATTTTTCATTCTAAGCACCATTCATTACTCTAGTTTCTCGCCGAATCTCCTCGGAGAGTCGCGATTCCGATCCGGTGGTAGATTCAGCGAATTACTTGCTCTTGTTATGGCTTAAGTTAGAAGAGTCTCTCAGATGACGGCCTTTGAGCTCGTCTCCCGATCCACTAACGGTGCTTGTAGGTACTCCAAGCACCGGTCATCGTCCTCGCCGAACCCGTCGCTTGCGATGAAGGGCTCGACGAGTAAACTAACCCACAGACATAGCCCACTGAGTTTCTCGCCGGATCTTCTCAGTGAGTCGCGTTCACGGCCCTTGCCAGGGTTCGTGTTAGCAATTTTGTCAGGTTTGAGCCCCGTGAGCTCACCTACTAGCCCGGTGACGCTGATATGGTCTCTCAAGACCAGGCCTGGGCAATGGCGGCCCGCAGGCTAGATCCGGCCCGCGGTAGAATTTTGTCTGGCCCGTGAAGCATTGTATATATTATTATTAAAAACACAAATATTAGTTTTTGTCTAACATAAATTGGTGCATAAATTTTTTTAGATAAAATATTTCCTAAAGAATTAAGAGATTTCTTAAAAAAATAAACTGTGCCTTTGTACATAATTTTCCTATTACTCTGTACTATGTCCTTCCTTTTTGTGTGTACATAAATAAATAAAATAAAATAAATAAATATTAAGCAATTCATAAGTATTGCATATGTGTAAGTATTGATAATGTGTATAATCACATTATCAGCCAAAATTTTCTTCCGGACAACCGCTCTTTTCAGCGCCTCCTATTCGAAAATATAATTATGATAATTAAACAATTACAGTGTGTATAATAGTCGCACAATTTTATTAGTTAATAATACTTATTATATCACATTATTGCATGAATAATCAAAATAACTTAATCTAAAGCCACCCTTTTCTCCTGCGATATAGTAGAACGCAAGTTATTTTTTATTAATTTTAATTTAGAGAAATATCGTTCCGCAATAAATTCGCGGAAAATTAAACGAAATAAAAGCAGATATAAAAATTTTATTTTAAATTTTTTTATACAAATTACTTGATAAATAAATATTTTGACTCAAAATGTTGGTTTTAAAATTCATAGATTGACATCCTTAGCGAAAACTATACTTAAAATTAGGAAAAAAACTGTTTGGCCCGAGGTCAAATTTTCATCTGCAATGTGGCCCGACTATCAAAATATTTGCCCACCCCTGCTCTAGACCATCAGCTTAGGTAGGAAAAAAGAGTTCATTGAACCGTGTTTATTGAGAATCATACGAGTTTAGTAATGTTGCGTGTGAGTAGGTACGTAGCGAGTTTAATGAAGTCGCATTTGTTCACGCAATCCACTGTCTAGTCTACATAATGAATTTCAACACAATTTTAATACTACGAATTGTGTTACCGACAACATAATTCAAAAGAATATATTATTACCCGTCCGCTTTGCTGGGCATTTAAAATTAACATTATTATTTCTCATCCACACAAAGATTCATCATTAACGCCCCCGCAACTGGTGTAGGGAGTCCAACACTCATATAAATATTAGCCTATCCATTAAGTACATGTATTTTCTAAATGGATACCAAGTTTCAAGTCAATCGGAGGCATGGTTCAGTAGTTATAACGGAACATCCATAACAACCACTGTAGATTTATATATCAATATAGATTATATGTAAACAGTATATATTCGTATCTATTTAGTGTATATATATTTTTTTCTATAATAATATATTGCTAATAGTACACCGCAATACCTGCTATATCTTTATCTTTTCTAGATTTTCTGTTAATTAAACGGTTGTCTGAAAGAGATCGCATCTAGCCGCCTATTGTACAAATGCATCTGCTTGTTGACTGTCTTTGAATGTTAATTGTGTTTTGGTGTGCAATAAATTGTGTTCTCGCTCTCTCTAAGCTTCAGTGAACATCTTCGGTTTTTGTGGTACACCCACTATTTGTATACGGGAGTAGACCTATTTCTGCCGTGAAGCAGTAATGCGTTTTGGGTTTGAAGAGTGGGGCAGCCGTTGTAACTATACTTGAGACCTTAGAACTTATCTCAAGGTGGGTGGCGCATTTACGTCGTAGATGTCTATGTGCTCCAGTAACCACTTAATACCAGGTGAGCTGTGAGCTCGTCCAACCATCTAAGCCATAAAAAAAAACCCTCATGATGGCGGCTTAGATTTTCCTGTTTTTTTCCCTACCTATTCACTGGTAGCCTAAGGGGCTATTCCAGCTGCGCCCGGACTGGTAGGTGAGCTCACGGGCTCCACCTAAGAGAGTTTACCGGCACTAGCCCTAGCAAGAGCAGTGCTTCGCAGAATCAACTACTGGAGGGACCTCTGTTCTTTATACCGTATGTTCCATTTTAACGTTCACTTTTCTTCTAACGAGTTTTTTAACGTTTTCGATAGCGTAAAAGTTAACTCAAGTTTGTATGGAGTTCGAACGTTTGCCTACGTTTGCCGCTAGGGGCGCTGTTCCAACTGCATACATATTTCAGTTATCTTTTACGCTTTCATATATTATTATACAGTAGCAGCCCGCTCCGGCTCCGCTCGGGTCTTTAACGAAAATTTCAACGATATTTGACGTTTATTTTTTAAAATAAACGAACACATTGTAGCATAACTATAATAGTTAGACATATGCTGTCGCGAAACTTTTTGTAAATAATAATGTGTTTCACAAAGTCGTAGTACATTATTTTTTTCTATCATCAATAGTTTTTGCAGGGCACGCGATGTAAAGAACATTTTTGGGTAATTTTTTTACACCTTGGGTTACATTATTGGAGTTTTAGTAAGGATCCCTAATTTTTTTCAAAACAGATGTCACTCGGGAATAGTGTAGCTTCCAAAAAGTGAAAGAATTTTTCAAATTGGTTCAGTAGTTTCAGAGCCTATTCAATACAACAAACAAACAAACAAATCTTTCCTTATTTCTTTCCTTATTATAGATATATAAATGATGTATGTATATCATGCGTTTCGGTTTGAAGGGTGGGACAGCCGTTGTAACTATACTGAGACCTTAGAACTTATATCTCCAGGTGTGTGGCGCATTACGTTGTAGATGTCCATGGGCTTCAGTAACCACATAACACCAGGTGGGCTGTGAGCTCTTCCACCCATCTAAGCAATAAAAAAAAAATTAAAAAAATCAGCATCTACAAGTAATTTTAGTCAGGGTAAGTTGACCATGCGACTTACTTTTACCATTACTCTCACATAATAATACCTAGGACTACGTTCATCCACATTGCGTCTCCAGAGACCTTGTTTCCAAGAACCTTCCCGCTCTGGCATGATCCCTCACCACGGTGTTTCCAGAGCACTACCACATGATTAGATGGAAGACCTTACTGAAACCCCACTTAACGATTGTGTGCGCCGGGCCTCGGTTCGCAAACTGTGGAAAACATCTGTAAAGGCTTTAATGAGCAAGAATTCCACATGACCACGACTGCTCTGCCAAGAGCAACCGATTATGATGATGATGACCACATGACCTTCAGATTTGACGAGATTCCTCAGACGGGTGCTTGGCATTGTCCTGGCGTCATGAATTAGGGTAACTAACCATCAAACCACCTGCACACTAATGCAATAAATAAAATAGAAATAAATAAACACCAATTATTTTATTGAACAAAAACCAAATCTGTTTCTCGACACTAGTGTATTTTTTTTAAATTCTGAAATCGATTTCTAATTCCTGTGTCTTAGGATCGAATGAAATTTGAGAGCGCGCCTCTAGTGTCGAGTCTTCAAGTCAATCATGATGTAATCTTCTTCTACTTCTTCACATGAGGTAATCAGAGACCCAGGGCGACATGCCATCCGTATATTTGACTGGCGGTAAGTCGTATGGCACGATAAGCCGGTTCCGGGCGTTTTGTTCTAGAGAGAAGTAATCTTCGTTGGTCTGTGCAAAAAAAGGCATTTCTGGTGTAAATTGGCATAAACAGGCAGAGCAAACAACATATTGAATCTAATACGTAAGTACTAGGATAACATAAAGATAAAGAAGTCTTGCAAAGTTTGATGTTTAAAATTTTAACTAAAGAAGTTTTCTTTATTGTCTTTGTTGGAAGACAAGCGCCATGATACTGAATGAACCGTGGCTCATGAATATCAGAAATTCCGGGAGCACAATGTCATTGTTAATGTCACTTTAATCACATATTCATTTCCATAACAAATATTTCATTACAACTGTAAAAATATGTCTAAATAATTAATTACATTTGTGATAGTCGTAGCAACAAATTGAACCAGATTTCGATCTCATATCTCCAGGACGGAGACAACATTAAATCTATGGACACCGATGACCACTTAACATCAAAATAGCCTTTAAAATAAATCATATAACTAGCAGAACATAGCAACGAAGAGGTATACGTATAAAAACGAAACATGTTCAAAAAATGTACCAAGAGAACATAACGATGAAGAAGTATGTACTTTAACTCTCACAACGAACTTTGGTAAGAACAACACGCCAGCTTCGTAGCTTAATTGATGGAGACGAAATTCAATCTACGGACTCCGATGACCACTTAGCATCAAAAATGGACTTTAAAATCCGACTACGCAATAAAACATACAACCAGGAGAGCATAATAAAGAGGAGGTATACGCAAAAAACTAACGTTATATTCCAAAAAATGTACCAGGAGAACATAACGATGAAGAAGTATGTGCTTTAACTCACAACAAACTTTGGCAGGAACAGCACGCCGGCTTCGTAACTCATTATCCTGAGCGCTCCGTTTCCTTTGTTCATCGAGCCCCAGGCCGCTTTGCTGACGTTCCCCGACGTGAGCAGGTAGTACGCTGCCTTCCTGCCGTCCTTCGACACCCGGGTGTAGGACTTTATGTGGGGCATCGCCCGGTTTCGATTCGTGGACGCAGCTCGCCATTGACTGCAAATTGTCCCACACGGTTACCGGTGTCAATATTCACTGTCAACATTTTGTTTGAGTGCATCATCCGGAGAAAAGGCCTGCAATGTATTGAAAAGGCCTGCACTTGCAATTAAGTAACTTAACGAATAATGACCACTCATTAACAGGTGAGTCGTATGCTCATCCGTCCTCACTACAAAAGCAAAAAAAAAACTAAAACTTTAAGAGATTTATAATAATAATTTTATCATATTATTTTCGATTAATTATAGATTGTGGTACTAGGAGGGCATGAATTATGAGAAGGTTAATAATGATATGCTCACTATAAAAAGCTATTTAGCCAAGGTTGTTTCGAATGCGCTTCGGCTGCGTAAGGCAGGCAACCGCCTCCTAACAAATCGTCGTGAGATTGTTTGACGTTTTCTGTAAACATAAAACAATATTTAGCATAACAATTACTCAATCGATACATATCCATATCGATTCGTATGAAAACGATTATCTTACCTAAAGATGGATAAATCAGTTTCAAAGTAGGCGGAGACGACAACATCTGCGATTGGTTCTTGATTTTCGTGAAGTTGTGAAGGAAATCTCCGGTCAACCAGAGCTGCAAACAAAACATTACTTTCTTAGAATTATGAAGCCCTGGTACTTTGATGTTACAAATATATACAAAGCAACAAACACATTATTATTAATTGACATACCTAAATTATCTGGATTTACCTTTGCCACAATAGTGGCCAATGACACTGTTAGTGTTACTACATCGCAAAAATTTCAATGTTTTCGAACATTACTTTAAAAGTCGAATTTACTTAATAACAAAAATAAAAGTCGAATTCAAACAGAACACGGAAAACTCTTTGATTTCATGTGATCCTGGTACCTCGGTACCTTGGTATCTCGCCCAAATTTCCCTGCATCTCTCGTCTTCCACTACCCACCTTCGGATCCTTGCCGTAACTACCCAGGCTGCTGGCCTGTGCCACCAGGGGCCACTGGAGCTGTTCCTCGGGTGGTATACAGCAGTGCTGCCGCAGTAATGAGCCCACACGGGTCATGCCCCAGTCCATGTCAAAATGAGATCCAGGAGCCGATGCTACTAAGAAAACACTGAAATTTTGAATGTTTCGTAGGTATATGAACGGACCACGATGACCACTTTGCATCTGACAGACCATGTCACCATAAGGATATTAGATTTTAAAGAAAAGAAAAAATCAAGTGGTATTTTCAAACAGAAACTAATAAAAGTTCTAAATATGTTAATTTTTAAAAAGTATTTTTATTATTAACGTCATTCGCGAATATTATATTTTCTGTAACCACGTATGACGTCACGACTTGTGAAAGTTTACATGGAACAAAATCATTTTATTTCTGGTCACACTTAATCCTTTGAGCGCAAATCGTGTGTAGATCGACTATCTATTAATACGTATAAAGCGCGGAGCGTCGTAATACTGACTTTTTGCACAGTTTGATTATAGGTATCGATCTTAAAAAGGTAGGTAATAACATGATTTTTTTTTAATCGAAATAGTTATTGTTTTTATAAGGTAAATTTTATTTCAAAAATCTTTTATCAATTTCTGCAAAATATGAAAAAAACAGCTCAGCACTAAAAAGGGTTAAAATCGATTTTTCAGTACTTTTTTTTTTCAAGATTGCAATTATTCCAATATTCACTTACTTAATGTGACTGAAATCCGATCTCTTCACTCTTTCAACGTAGTAGGTGAGATGAGGCATATGATAGTGATTCAAATAGCGCAACAGAGACTTTTTGAACATCGTCGGGGACTCTCCATCATGAGGCATCGCTTCCGACGGCAACTCCGGGCATTTTGGACTGAACCACAGACTAAAAAAAACAATACTGTTGAATCAAGACCGAAATAAATATTATCTCGGGTTAGTATTTTATTTTTATTCATTTAATTGTTACCGGAGCCCGTTGACTTGACCAGTGAGTTGAGATCTTAATTTTTTATTTTTTTTTATTGCTTAGATGGGTGGACGAGCTCACAGCCCACCTGGTGTTAAGTGGTTACTGGATCCCATAGACATCTACAACGTAGACGCGCCACCCACCTTGAGATACAAGTTGTAACACCAAGTGAGTTGTGAGCTCGTCGACTAATCTAAGCAATAAAAAAAAACACAATACGCCACCAGCAATTGCTGCTGCCCATTCACTAATGAATCCCTTGGTCTTAACGAATACTAAGCAGTGAATAAGCCACCGTAAGTTACATGTACAGAAATATTATATTGGCAAAATAACCGGATTCCCGCGCCGCAATTTCTGTCAGTTTAAGCCAAACGTCAAAGATGTTTTTGGCGGGAAAACGAGGAACGAAGTTGTGCGATTTCTTTTCGGGTTCCAACGTCAACGATGGATAAGTCTTCAGAGGTGACTTTTCGAGGTCTTCCAAAAATTTTCCGATCATATTACTGAGACGACATTTCATTCCATCGGATTACGATTTCAAGTTAGCCAACTTCGCATAATTCCGAACAATTTTTCATATAACAGTGTACGTAATTTACATAATAATTATGGAGTGTGGCGGGTAGCCATCACACAACATAAGATATTTGACAGATGCCTGAATCTCGCTTACGACATTTTCAAGATAAGCTTACATATGAGTCGACTATTATCAAAGCCGGCAATGTGACTTTTGGACAATTATTGGTAAATCAGAAAAACGAATTATTGACTTTGTATTCCATTGGCAGTCACAAAACTCTTCTGAACGACATCTTAGATAAATAACAGGTTAAGTATTAACCTTTATTTAATGCAGGTTTTGAACCGTATTCTTTGAAGGAGACGATTATATTCNATGTGACTTTTGGACAATTATTGGTAAATCAGAAAAACGAATTATTGACTTTGTATTCCATTGGCAGTCACAAAACTCTTCTGAACGACATCTTAGATAAATAACAGGTTAAGTATTAACCTTTATTTAATGCAGGTTTTGAACCGTATTCTTTGAAGGAGACGATTATATTCAAATAAATCTGTATTGACATATCAATAAAAATTTTTTGTCCAAATGCACAGATTGCCACCTTTGATAATAGACGACTCATATACAAGTTCCGAACAACAACATTCGGACCGTCGGTCTACCGAACAAAGATCACCCGCTCGGTGGAAGATCTTCCCTTTGTCGGTTAAGTATCCCCACATGGAGGGTAGAAATAAGGAGCACCCGCTCAGTGTACTAAATAGTGTCCGCTGAAACGGAGCGAGTGAAGATGGCGCCACTATAGCAAGTGGAAAGATTCAAAAACAGCGCCATAGACTATTAGAGTAGGATACTAAATTAAGAAGGAAAAAAACAATTCCTTTGTAATCTATACTCTATACTAATATATAAATCTACAGTGGTTTTTACGGATGTTCCGTTATAACTACTGAACCATGCATCCGATTGACTTGAAACTTGGTATCCTTGTAGAAAATACATGTACTTAATGGATAGGCTAATATTTATATGAGTGTTGGATTCCCTAATGATAATGACAATAAATAATAATGTTAATTTTAAATGCCCAGCGAAGCGAGCGAGTACGGCTAGTGTGGTAATAAAAATAGATATTTGATATTTTAAATACAGCATATTTTTAACTACACAATGCACGAAAAATAATAAATTTTTCAACCTTGCACACTTCACTCCGTTTAAAACTGCTATATTCGTATCATTTCCACTTCCTACACTAGCGCTATATCGGTGAGTCCTCCAACAATAACTCACTGTTTACAGATGGACACTTTTTCAAATTGCCTCCTATAAGACGGTACCGTAAAATGGGGCGATTAGGGACAAATTCCAACTTTATGAGCAATTTTAAGGTAGTTGTTGATGTATATAATGCTATATCAGGATCAAAATGATTGAGTCTTGGGGGCATCTTTGTTGTCCAATTTATAATTATGCAACTAGCATTCCAGTTTAAGCAAAAAATGCAAAAATAGGTGTAATCCCTATTTACCCGAAAATTGCGGTTAATTGGGACGAAATGATAAATTTGCTAGGGTTGGCACTACTTTTATTTTTATATATAGTTTTAATTATTTAATTTATTTAGTTGCACCAACAAAGTGATCATCAATAAAAAAAATTTAAAAACTGACAAAAGTACATGGCAGACATCACCTCAATTATAGGTGCAATCGACAGTGCTGATATTTCTATCTGGGTTAAGAGATTAGGTGTGTCGGTTATTCCATGGATTAATCAGATGAATACCCCCACTCTGAACAAATATTAAATATATTATTATGTATTACTTAGACATTTTTGTCCACCTTGAGATTTCATTGATCTTGTTACATGTCTCTGCAAAATCGACTTACTTATATTAAATTGCTTATCTATTTCAACTAAAGACTTATTCCCAATTTCGCTTCGAATAAACCAGATTTTTACCAACAAATTTAAAAAATATTGTTATAACTACATAGACAACCCTACAAACCTGTACCTATTTATACTTAGGTCGTTTCCATTTCACGTATTCTCATCCCAATTGACCCCTTTTTCGTTGTTATTTGTACCTAAGACGTCCCCAATATCCCCAAAAACAACAGATTTTTACATGTATTTTTATTTAATCAAATACATTAAAACCAATAACAACTGAGACTTACCTTTAATATATATGCTGGTTCAAACACTAAATAACGTTTATAAATCATAGTCGTCTTCTATTATTATCAAATAAATAAAAGAGAGCAAAGTTTCTAGCACTAAAATAATTACCACCACAGGAAGTTAATTTGAAACGCGATTTTTTATAAGTTAGCAGCTATTATCATGCATATTCAGAGTTGTTTTGTGAACTTTCAACATTCTACTATTAAACTACAAAAAATGGAAGATTTTGCAACGAATATAAAACTTATATTGAGCATCGAAAGATTTTCCCGGTTTTTTCCCGATTCGCCTCTCAATCCCTAAACGCCCCATTTTACCGGTACTCTTTACATACCTCCCTCCATAACAATAATTGAGTTTTTATAAACTCTGGCAACACTGGCAAAGTAAAAATTCAGTTGCCATACTGAAAAAAAATCTAGTATTCTGAGGCAGACTCACCCTTGCGTTCTGTTCTCCCAATCATCAATATACAGATTGGCTGTCGATACTACAACGCGAAGTGACCCGTCTTCGTAACACAAGATCATCATTTTACTGAAAAAACCCAAACCACTTTATTTCAATTTATTTGGCGTAAAAAATTTATATTAACCATTGATTTCTGGAGCAAATCATTTTTGTGTCTCTCTCTCTCTCTAACTCGGTCTATCTCTTTCACAATAATATTTACTTCAGAGGTACAAAAAATAAAAATAAAAAATTTTGAGTCATCGATCTCATGTCGTCAATGTCAATGGTTACCACTTACCACCAGACGGGACTCTAGATCTTTTCTGCCAGTCTATGAACCGCAAAAAACTTACTAGTGTATATTTCTTATGTACCAGGAATACATAAATCGCTAAGAGGTGACTTTTTCTTTCGAATGAGGAATATTAGAAATAAATTATAGGTTACTATCGTACAGGAAAGACATTTTTTTCCAGACCTGAAAATAGATCTTGGAATTAAATTGCAGAGACATCTACCGGATCCAATTCTAAATCTAAATGCTAATGCTAGGATCCACTCAAGCTCGATCGAAATTCGACCATATTCACTGACACCTAAAATTTTAAATCTATATATTAATACGTGAAGCAAAAACTTTGTATCCCTTTTTACGAAAATTGCGCGGACGGAGGAGTATGAAATTTCCCTCACTTATAGAGAATATAGAGAAGGAATGCAGAATGCTATTTTTTATTAAACTAGGCATAATAAATACATTAAATCAATAGAAAAAACATTACACACACTACCATGTATTTGACACAGAAACGCATATAAACTCTGGTTTATTGTTACAGTCTGTGGTCAACTAGGGAATAGATTAATATTGTTTGTATTTTTTTTAAACTGAAATAATGTATTAATAATAATAATAATTTAAATTTATTATTATTTGCCTTTAGTGTAGCCGTGGCGAAATCTGTGATTGTAGAACAATGATTATAGAAATGTGACAATAGAATTATAATATTGCTAAAACTTATAATTTAAATTAATTACGGTCGAAGATCTTTTCCAGGATTATGGATGTATATTAAAATATTAAATATATGTATGTGTATAATAAAAATCTTACATTTATTTCCGTTAACTGGTACCTGTAACACAAGTTCTTTACGAACTTAGCACGGGACCAGTTAACGTGGCGTGATTGATAATAAATATTTACTAGTGGTCCCGCAGTAGTCGAAATTCGACTATAATTATTTGGAAATGTAAGTTTGTATACTATTATGATTGTATTTTCAATGCCAAGACTACACTATAGAAAAATATGAATAAAGACAAACAATATTTAATCTATTCTCAATTTGACCACAGACGTCAAGAACAAAGTTTGACAATAAATGCAATGCATGCGTGTGTGCGTCAAATACATGATAGTGTGTGTAAAGTTTTCTTTATTGATTTAATGTATCTTTTATGCACTATTTAAAAAAATATTAGCATTGTGCACTTCTTCTCTATATTCTCTATAAGTGTGGAAAATGTCATACTCCTCCGTCCGCGCAATTGTCGTAAAAAGGGATACAAAGTTTTTGCTTCACGTATTAATAAATATTTATTATATTTATTTATTTATTATTATATACTAGTATGTATAGTTAAAGGATGTTTAAAATAATTTACAAATCTTACGTGTGATGTTTACCGAACGGAGTCGCCATCGGCACCAGGTGAGCGTCAACGTGTGGCTTCTTCTGGCTGATCGTCCTTAAATCCTGAGAATCCTCACCGTACAATATCGTTAGCTTCTTCTCGCTAAAAATTTCAGACACAGATCTGAAGACCTTAAGAGTATCCAGAGTTCTTTTTTTTTAATGCCCTTGAAGGTAGACGAGCATACGGCCCACCTGATGGTGAGTGGTTACCTTCGCCCATGGACTTCAGCAATGCCAGGGGCAGAGCCAAGCTGTCTACTAGTCTAGATAAAGTACTAGGACATTATGAATTCAAAGAGATCTCACTTGGAAGCCTTCTGCCTACCGTTAAGTACTCCCCACAAGTGCACGGTCCGTCTGATTTCTTTATCTACTTAAGGCTCCATCTGACGGTGAGTGGTCACAGTAAGTCATAGACGTCAGCAATGCCAGATGCCAGCAAGATGCGGTCTACCGCCGAGTAATCTCCGCAAACCTCATTTGGAAGACATGTTATAACACCCGGAAAACTGTCAAATATATCTGGAAACGCACTGTGGATGAATCCAGTGGTTCCATATAGTACGGATCCTTGCTTATTAACTATAATAATATTTTTAGTATTGTTACGACGGTAAGAGTAACGCCATCTATCGCCGAATAGTCGAACGAATATCGAAGGACCTAGAAGCACCTAGTATGCTCGAGAAATACAACGCCATCTATTGTCAGATAGTGGAAACTACTACTAGAGATGTGTGGAATATTCTCAGTAATTCTAGAGATGAGGTATCGGCTATAAAAGCGTTGCAGAGATGGGTTAGTCAGTAATCGGAACTACTCGCGAACGAATCACCGGAACAAGCGAATTGAGAGTTTTAAAGTGTTTGTTGAGTGTTTTAAGTGTTCTAAGTGTTGAATACAGTTTTTACTTGTACTTTAGTGAAATTTTATTTATCCCGAACCCTAAGCGCGTAACAGTATACTTTAAGCAAATCTACCTGTAACCAGCGAAGTAGTACTGAGCCAGCAGCCATCCAAGCTCGACCATAAAATTGATTTGCAACGAACACTTCAACTCGCCTAAGCTTCTATCTAAAATTTCTGCGGAAAAATAAAGTGTTTACATATTATAGAGAAGTGAAAGGCTACTGAGTTTAATATTAAAATTAGAAAAATACATTATAACAAAAAACACGTGTCGCACTCGGGGACTGCCGCGGTAAAGCTATTGCATAGCACTATCAATTTATGCAATTATAATTAGATAATAATAATTTAATATTTAAACAATAATAAAAGAAGACCACGCTATATTTATAAACATTAACAAAAGCAAAACATTAACTGTCCCCTTCACGCTCATAAGCTAGACCGCGCGAAAGAGATGGGCAGACTTTTCATGATGCGCATGCAGTGCGACGTCACGCCGCGAGCTTATTTCCTTTTTCACAATTTCTTCTTCTATTTATTCACAAACACTACAAAAGCGCAACGCGTGAATGTACATGGTAGGCGGAGTGGGGTGTGTTAGGTTTTATTTTCGTTACGGAATTTCTTGATTCGGTCGCCGCGCTCAAAACCCGATACAAACCGATAAAAGCTATGCAATAGCTTAAAAACCTTCTTCAGCTATTTCAATGGAGTACACTTAATTGAAGTTCAATTAAAAACATCGAACTGTCGATGCTAATAACAAATAAAACGGGCTTTTAATTACAAAGATAAATGTTGCATGTTAAGCGAAATGTTGCTTAAACAAAAACAGCTTTTCGCCCCTCGATATGAAAATCCAAATTAGCACAAAAACCAGCCCACAAGTGACCACTGCTCGACATAGTCCTCTCCCGATTTAGACCAAGATCAGGTCTTCGGTTCTGCTCATCAATTACTTGAAGAACATCGATTTTTTGAGACTCGCGCCACCTACCCTTCATTAACGATACCATGACGACATCCTGACGACTATACCAAGTTCTATCACAATCGGATGAGTGGCTCAGTAAGTAGTAGTCTTAAGGGTTGTAGGACCTCTTGTGAGTTCGGGCGGGTAGGTACCACCACCCTGCCTATTTCTACCGTGAAGCAGTAATGCGTTTCGGTTTGAAGGGTGGGGCAGCCGTTGTAACTATACTAAGACCTTAGAACTTATATCTCAAGGTGGGTGGCGCATTTACGTCATAGATGTCTATGGGCTCCAGTAACCACTTAACACCAGGTGGGCTTTGAGCTCGTCCACCCATCTAAGCCATAAAAAAAACTCGTACAGGACAAACAAACAAACATACATACATACACAAACCCAATATTGCCCAGTGTGTCGTTATACAATACCTACAATTGGCAATTGGACCTCATGCTTCAATGTATGTGGTATTTACGTAGTGATGCCTATGGGCTACAACGACCACTTAACACCAAATGGGCCTTTATCTCGTTCGAGAGGCTATAAAAAATAATGCACAAACAAACAAACGCTCAATTTTAACTATAAATAAAACTAATTTCTGTATTCATTGTACCAGGATCGCATAACACCGTAGGAGGTCACTCACCTTGGAATGTTATAGAGAACGGCTGCGAATGCGTTTCCTTTGCCGCCGTGATTGTCGTGTAAAAAATATAAAAGGGCGCACTGGCTTCGTGCTTTGCAGCCATTCGCCCTTTAGGCCTTACAACGTTCAAATAATCTTCTACACGTCGAGTCGGAGGTATTATGGGACGATAATCTGAGTCTGAAAATAGAATTACAGTTTGAAAAAAAAAAGAATTATACAAGGGAGGACTTTTTGGCGGGAACGCGAGAAGTGAAGATGTGTGATTTGTTAATTTTGTCTATTTAGTGTTTCTTCAGATTTAAGTGTGTAATAACGGTGGTTTATTATCTGTTTAATATCTGTGAAAGTGCACAAATGTGGGAAAATGAAACAAAGCCGCTGAACGTAACTTCTCTGGATCCTCCAAAGTGTCCATTGAAAAAGTCTCAGTAAATGACCACCATTTTACTGAGATTATATTTCATCCCATATCATCTCATCTCATTTCATAATATCATTTTTCATATAAAAAATATATAAAAGATTAAGCTGCATGGTATGATACCTTTGCTTTTCCAATTGGAAAAATAAAACTACTACTATTTATAAAAGGGAGAATTTTGGGGGAAGAGCGATAATTCAGTGTATTTATCAAATAACACTAGTAAATTCCCCCATATCACTAGGACTTCCATCTCATCTAGTTTCATTTCACTTAATTTTATCTCAATTTATTACAGTTTCAAATGATTCAACTTCATTTCATTAGCTCAATTATTCACGTAATAGATAGAAACTGGCAACAATAACAGCATAACAAAAAAATTGCCATATTGAAAAAAACCTAAAGATTTACTTCTTGAGGCCAATTTATTTAGTGTAGGTTTACACTGTACATACCTTTTTAGAATTCAGAATTATAGAACAATTTAAAGAGAATTTAAAAGAGAACCTATTTTTCTATACTTACTTGACAAATGTTCACAATTGACTTCCGCGGTGAAGGAATAACATCGTGTAATAAAAATCAAACCCGCAAAATTATAGTTTGCGTAATTACTGGTGGTAGGACCTCTTGTGAGTCCGCACTGATAGGTACCACCCTCTGCCTATTTCTGCTGTGAAGCAGTAATGCCTTTCGGTTTGAAGTGTGGGGCAGCCGTTGTAACTATACTGTGACTTTAGAACTTATATCTCAAGGCCGGTGGCACATGTACGTTGTAGATGTCTATGGGCTCCAGTAATCACTTAACAGGTGGGCTGTGAGCTCGTCCAACTATCTAAGCAAAAAAAAAATAGAAAAAAAAAAGTTCAACAGCTTTTATAACTACGGTTACAGTATCTTCAAAAAATTATCTGATTAAATAAAACTTACAACTGGATTTCTCTTTAACAACTCCCCCTCTATCGATAGGTGTCTTAATTTTGGCTTCATTATTTAAAGACATTATTTTTGTATTCTCAGGTTTGTCCGGTACTTTTTGATGACTAGCAGAACTTGCCTCTGGTTCCACATTTTTCCCTTCTCGTCTGTCCCTGTATGTTTCTTGTTTGTTCTCAATTTGTTTTGGGCTGTAATGATTAAACATTTTTTAAAACCTACCTAAGGTCTACTGATGGTCTTGGGAGACCATTTCAGCGTAACCAGGAGAGTAGGTGAGCTCGCGGGGCTCAAACTGGACGACGTTGCTAATACGAACCCTAGCAAGAGCTAGGCTATGTCTGTGGGTTAATTTACGAAGAACGATTACCGATGCTTGAGGTACCTAAAAGCACCGTTAGTGGATCGGGAGGATCCGAAATGAGGCGTTTTGGGCGAGGTCGACTGTTTACCATTCAGTCCGCAGGATCGGGAATGTAGTTACCGGCGGCCACGATGTAGCGGTTCTCGTATCGTGCCGATTTCGCGAAATGATGATTATACAATAACATTTTATTACAGTACTGCTATTTATTTAACTAAGATGTGTAAAAGTTAACAGTTATAACTCCAATGCTTATAAATTGTTTAATAGGGTATTCAGGAGAATTCGGGAAATAGCTACATCCACTGTTCTACTATGAATATGAGTTACTATTATCGCACAAAACATTCAGACTTAAGTAGCTGAATGGTACTTAATAATTCAAGTATTTTTTTTTATATTTCTTAATATTTTGATGTATTTAGTTAGAGTAAGCAGAGGGTACATATTCAGTGAAGTTTGTGCCAGAGATCAAGAAATGAGGCCGCATCAAACAAACCCAATTCGCAACCTTCAACAAGTCATCAATCCGTCTTGTGAGAGCCTAACCCACATTACGTATTCCAGTATGTGACCACCACTTCAGAACTTTAAAACAAAAACACATCTAAAGCATGCCTCAAAGCCCTCAAATAACTAAAGCAATGGTGTAATTATCTAGTCTATTCTCCAGACTATTTAAATGAAGACTTGGTTTTACACTATGCATGAAAAACTTTAGTAATATAAATAAAATCATGAATGTGCAGAATATTTTTCAATTTACTTGTTTTGTACATTGTTCCGAGGAGCATAGAATCCCTTTTCGATTATAACATCAAGCTGTTCAGTGATCAATTTCTTCTGGAGATTGTATTTATCTGGGATGGGGTAATCTCCGCCACTGGTGTGGTTATCCAAAATAGATTCCACTGTGGAAAATAATGCAATTATATCAGTTGAGTGGATTGTAAATCAGCTGAGTTTTTTATGTTTAATGTGGTAATCTACAGTGCTGAAAACCGTAAATGAAATGTTGGAAATTGTAAACGAAAAATTAATGTCAACCTTAACCTTTAAGTTACAATTTAGATTTAAGTTTGTCTTTAATTTTTCGTAGTTACAATTTACAAAAGTTACAGTTTATCTAGTTACAAGTAGTTACAATTATTTTGTATCATTGGGAGAGGTAGGCAGCCACTTGGCTGTGCCCCTGGCAATGATCTATGATCAACGGTGACCACTTACCATCAAGTGGGCAGTATGCTCAGCTGCCTACAAAGGCAATAAAAAAAGGAGAACCGAAGATTATTATTTTGTCTTGTTAATTTGTTTTTCTGAAGAGTTATCGAAACACGGAAACTTTTTAACAGATTTGGCTTATTGCTTTTCCAGTTAAGACTTCAAACTCTGATAAAAGTTAAAAATACTGCAAATTTTAACTAAGGCAAGATTTTTCTGAGTTCTATTCAAAAATAAAAACTACATTTTTCACATACATCCAAGAAATTTTTTAAACTTTTTACTTACAATGCGGATGACTAAATTCACGGAAATGTACAGGATTCATTCTGTAGCATTTTTCGCCATAATCACAGACCTTTTTTACTCTTTTTGTCTCATTTTCTGAAATAGCATGACAATTTTTATTTTGTTTAACATTGTATTTATTATTTTGTTCGTTAACTCAGATACACTTGAATTGTTACAGGTACCTTGCATAGTTCCTCGTCGCTTTAGGGAAGGGTTCATACTTAAATAAATCACTTAAAAAGTCTACCTAGCTATCATAAATTATAGTTTAAAGTTGTTGAATCTTTGGAAATATTTCAAAACACTACTTATGTGAACTGTCTTGTTGTGTCATTTTTCCAGTAGTTCTATTTTCCAAACAAAAAGACCAAGGAGTCATATTATACAGCCTAACGTTTTGAATTTTATGTTTCATAAAAAATGAAATGAAGTTGATTAATTTGAGACTTCAATTAATATGAAATTAAATGAAACAAGATGATATGGGATGAAATATAGTCTCAGTCAAAAGAATATGTAGTTTTTACTGAAACATTTTGGAGAATGCTGACAACTGTACACTTTCACAGACACTTAACAGTTAACAAACCCCCGTTATTAGATTTTTTTATTGCTTCGATGGGCAGACTAGCTCACAGCCCACCTGGTGTTAAGTGGTTACTGGAGCCCATAGACATCTACAACGTAAATCGCCACCCACCTTGATATACAAGTTCTAAGGTCTTAGTATAGTTACAACGGCTGCCCCACACTTCAAACCGAAACGCATTACTGCTTCACGGCAGAAATAGGCAGGGTGGTGGTACCTATCAGCGCGGACTCACAAGAGCTCCTACCACCAGTAAAAAAGTCTCAAGTTTCTCAAGTCATTTGTTTCAAGTTTGAAGTAGATTTAGTGAAAGCTATTAACATTAAATCCTGGAGATATTCTTCAGTCAGTACAAAGACAGAAATTTATTCTTAATGAAGTTCATCTTTGTAAATGGTGCTTCACAAATATATCGACTGGTGGAATACCTACCACCAGATGTTTAAGCCTGAAGAAACACTAAAGTGACAAAATAAAACAATTCACACAACTTTACTTGTCGGATTCCTGCCAAAAAGTCTCATTTTTTAAGATATTTGGGACAGCATCTTTTATGCCGTGTTAACCAGACCTTTAATCCAAAACATCTTGTGACAGCTGTCATCGAGTTTTCGCAGAAGTAGGTAGGCATCCACACTCGTGTAGTCACGTCATTTCAGATCCTCCCGATCCACTAACGGTGCTTTTAGGTACCCCAAGCACTGGCCATCGATCTCGTCGAGCCCGTCGAGTAAATTAACCCACAGACACAGCCCAGTAAGTTTCTCGCCGGATCTTCGTAGTGGGTCGCATTTCCGATCCGGTGGTAGATTCCAGGAAGCACTGCTCTTGCTAGGGCCAGTGTTAGCAACATCGTCAGGTTTGAGACCCGTGAGCTCACCTACTAGTTAAGGTTACGCTGATATGGTCTCTCTAGAGTCTAGACCATCAGCTTAGGTAGGAAAAAACCCATGTACAGTTGTACAGAGCATCTATCATTATATTAATAAAATTTTATTACAATTGTAGTATTGATAGAGGCATAATGATAATGAAAGTAACAGTATTCAAACAATAATTTTAATAAAGCCTTTATATTTCAATAACATTTATTTACGCTAATTTTGACTGTGTAGAGCCGGCGTGGCAGCTCGCAACGAATTCTCCAAGTTCTTCAACGCTGGTGTCACGGAAGACCCTAGATCTTCAACTACGCTGGACAGGTATACTTTAGAAAAAAAAAACAGTTTTTAATTTTAGAACTCCTTTGTATTATGACAGCCTGGTACTAGCGTTGTCGAAAACGGGAAAGTTTTACTGGTTTTTTCCTTTAAATTCTATTTTTTATGATTCGCAGTTGTAGCACAATCGCCCATGGACATCAACAGCACCAAAACTCAAGTTGGCAGCATCGTCCATGGACATCAACGAAAATACCAAAACTCAAGTTCTCAGATCTTACAACTCATATAAGGCGGGTGACGGCATTTACGTGGTTGATATCTATGGGCTCCGGTAACCACTTAACACCAGATGGGCCGTGAGCTCATCCACGCATCTAAGCAATACAAACAAAAGGAAGTTTAAAAAAGTTGTCCAAAATCACCTGTGCAGGACGAAATCGATTTTAAATAGTTTTATCAAACAAATAAAATTAATATAGTTGATAAGTAATTACGTAACAAAAATGTATAATCTTAAATTATTTTATATGCAATATGTTAGTGTATCAGATCAGAGAATGTAAATAGACCAATAGGAACGATTTGTGGAGCGCTTTCACTACGGTAACATACAGATCAAGGGACCCCCGAAAGTGGCGCGTCGATAGCGCGTCGCGAGATGGGGTACTGAAATAAATATAAAAGGATGGCCATTTACAGGCAAAACACAGTTCTCAGCAGATCATCAAGACAGAAACAGTTCTCAGAAGCTCTCCGACAAAGAAACATCAGCAAGACAGAAACAGTTACCAGCAGTTCTCCAATAGTACAGTTATCAGAAAACCACCAGTGAATCAGCTACCAGTGAACCAGACAGTTACCTGTGAAACCTCGCTACAGAAGCCGAAACCCATCGAAAGAAACAGCCGTCTTCTANTCAGAAGCTCTCCGACAAAGAAACATCAGCAAGACAGAAACAGTTACCAGCAGTTCTCCAATAGTACAGTTATCAGAAAACCACCAGTGAATCAGCTACCAGTGAACCAGACAGTTACCTGTGAAACCTCGCTACAGAAGCCGAAACCCATCGAAAGAAACAGCCGTCTTCTACCAGCGCACAAACAGACAGCAGAAAACATTATTACACGACTCGGAAACAGCCATACAGACCGGGTCGTGTACATCACCGTTACATACATAAATACAAATAAACCTAAATGCTTAAAAAAAAATAAGCTCACCAATATCAGTGAGACATCTCTTCGTTCCTAACGCATCCATATTTTTTATATTCAAAATCTTATCTGCATACGTTTCGCACGTGTGGTTGCACACCTAGAGAAAGGAAATAAACAAATTTAACTCTACGCAATTCATGTTATCCTGGTACTTTTTTCCCCTACCTATTCGCTGGTAGACTATGAGGCTATTCCAGATACGCCCAGACGGGTAGATGAGCTCACGGGCTCAACTTGGGAGAGCTTGCTAACACTATAACACACTGGTGGTAGGACCTCTCGTGAGTCCGCACGGGTAGGTACCACCACCCGGCCTATTTCTGCCGTGAAGCAGTAATGCGTTTCGGTTTGAAGGGTGGGGCAGCCGTTGTAACTATACTGAGACCTTAGAACTTGTCTCAGGGTGGGTGGCGCATTTGTGTTGTAGATGTCTATAGGTTCCAGTAAACACTTAACACCAGGTAGACCGTGAGCTCGTCCACCAATCTAAGAAATAAAGAGTAGTAAAAAAAAACAAAATGTGTGCAATTCACACGTGGTAGAAGTGAAACCTTCCAAAATTAAAATACAAATCCTACAAAATATCCTAACGTCTTAAGTATATGTAAAATTTTGTCATTAGTAAATAATTGTAAGGTAGCGCCCTCTGTGAATTGATATTTTAATTTCACGTATAATCCTAAATTAAAATTCACTACAAGAGCTTTCATACACACGTTAATATTAAAAAATCTCACAGATGGCGCTGTATTAAATAGTATGTATATTTCTGTCTCATTCTTTGCTGGCTTCNTTGATTGGGAGGTTGAGCAATGGAGACAAGTCCTGCTCTCCGACGAGAGTAGGATGTGTTTGCAGGGTAGCGACCGAAGAGGTTGGGTCTACAGGCGGCCTGGGGAGCGATTTACGCAGTGCTGTTTCGCTGAAACAGTGGTTTTAGGGGCGGCTATTGTATGATGTGGGCCGGCATTTCTTTCGACGATAAAACCGAGCTTGTTTTCGTGCTTGGTGGGGGATGAGCAGGCGGTCTAACTTCGGACCGGTACATTTCCGATATTCTGCTGGAACATGTCGTTACCTATGCGGGATATACCAGCGATGACTTTCTCCTTATGCACGATAACGCTCGTTGTCACACTGCCTGTGTAACGACTGAATACCTTGAAAAAGTCTGTATCGCCACATTGGACTGGCCTGCGCTCAGCCCTGACTTGAATCCTATTGAGCATGTGTGGGATGAACTGAAGAGAAAGGTTCGTTCCAGAACTTCTGCTCCTTCATGTCTGAATGAGCTGAAATCGGCGTTGATTGAGGAGTGGGAAAGTATCCCACAAAAATCAATTCAAAAGCTGATCAGGTCTATGAAGAATCGTCTTCGAGCAGTTATTAGGGCGAGGGGAGGGTACACAAAGTACTGAAAATTAATTTTAAGACTAAATAAAAATTTTGTTTATTATTTTTTGTTGTTTCATTCACTCATTATTTTTCCATATTTCCTTGTTTTCCTACCTCCTTCACTTAATCCGGGATAGCTTCTTAAATACTGAATTGATTTTAATGAATTTGGTATCAGTTTAAAGTTAACAGTTGAATCTTTAAAATGATCTCATTTTTGTGATTATCAAAAAAATATTTAGTACACAAGATCGCGCGGAACCAATTTCAAGTAAGTGATTCCAAACTTTTGCTCGCGAGTGTATATAAAAATAATATATAATTGTCAGTCTGAGGATCCTGGTCTCCACAAAAGCTTGCTAATCAGCTTCTAAGACCTTAGTTCTTAGTTTAAGTGCCAATAGTAAGGTATACTCCAGCCCCGCACGGGTGGGCATCATCCTTCTGCCTATTTCTACCACTAAGCAATGACGCATCCCGATTCCAAGAGCAGTGTATGTACCAAAGCAATCAATTGAGCGCCCCTAACGATGTTGACCAAGCGGTCATTATTAATAATAAAAAATACGATACGGATCTTTATACATCCCGCGCAATATATGAGAAAATAAATAAGACTACATCTGAGGTCAATGAACTCGCGACTATATCAAGTACCTTCGTTTGTACCTAATATAAAAAATGTATTATAATAAAAAATACTATACGATCTATATACCGGCGGTGAGTCCGCACGGGTAGGTACCACAACCCAACCTTTTTCTGCCGTGAAGCAGTAAGGTGTTCCAGTTTGAAGGGTGGGGCAGCATTGTACTGTTTAAAGTGAGACCTTAGAACTTATGTCTCTAATGAGTG